CTGTCCGTGTGTGGACCACGTGGTTTTGCGTGCATGCCATGGTCTTGGATCGATCAATGCCATAGTGTCCGTGCAGTGCATGTGCATGGCCATCCATGCCGTCCGTGTGTGCGACCGAGCGCGCGATGGCGCACCCCAGTAGGTAGGTAGGTACACAACCGGCAGGCAGGCAGGCAGAGAGGGGAGGTACAGTGTGCTGGCAGCTAGAAGCTGTTCATGGGTCACCCACCGGTGGGGGGCAAGTGTTATTTGTTCGCTCTAGGCAATGCTTGGATGGATGGACAATTGACTTGACAGACAGGACAACGAACGGTTGGTTGATTTGACTTTGCGTGGTTGCGTGTCGTGTCATGCCGTGTGTGTGTGTTCCAGTGTGTGTTGCATGGATGGATGGATGGATGGATGGCATTTGTGAGTGAACCATGCGCTATCGCTCTTCACCCCTTCACTTCAACGTCCGAGAATGTGTCTGCACCCCTTGTACGTACAACACGTTTCACACAACACGGAATGCAGAGATGACACTCATCCGTCCTTTTCCCCCCTCTCCCCCCTCTCCCCTTGATAAAACGCCACAACCCACCCACCACACGCACACGCAAACGTACTCCTCTCCTCTCCTGTCCGCTACCTGCCACCTCCGACCCCTCCCTGACTCCCGCACCTATGCCCTTGTGGTGTGTGGTGTGTGGTGTGTGGTATGTGCATTTCTCATTTCATTCATTTCTTGGTGGTGTCGGCCTGCTTCGCCGCCTCCCCGCCCTCCTTGCCTTCCTTCTTGCCTCCGATGCCGCCCGCCGTGCCCTGGATGGATGTGGTGGTGCTGTGGGGAGCCGTCGTCATGGTCGAGATGGACTCGGACTCCACACGGCTCCAGTCGATGCCCCGCTCTGGCTTCCAACCCGACTGCTCACGGAGGCGTTTCTTGAGCTGGTTCTGCCGTTTGATGTGCAGCAACTCAGTATCCTCACGGTCGTCATCTACCGGCGACTCGCCTGCACCACACATGCCATTGGGCGGGATGGACAGCGGAGAATTATGCGGCAGTGATGCTCACGTCGGATGGTACCTGTGTCGGCGCATTGTGCGGCCTGCAGCTTGGCCTTCACCTCAATGAGGCGGGCGGCGTCTTCGGCACGCTGCGAAGCACGCTCCGATGCCATCGCTAAAGGCTGTTGAGTTGGCGAGCTTTGTGTGCGTTGTTTTGTGTGACCGTTGCCCAACGCTCTGCGATGCTGCCTGGCTTTTCTTTGCTGTTCTTCCTCTCGTCCCTCGCTGCCTCTGCTTGCGCAGTTCTTTGCTGATGAGCCACTGATGAGAGAG